TTTACACAGTTTTCTTCCGAAGCTGTTTTAGCTTTCAATTTATGGGTAAAATAACAGAAGCCAACCAGCAAAAATGTTGTGTCTATACAATTAAAAAAACAAACCACTGATTAGGTCTAGATAGTCTAGGCTGGCCTTCTTTCAATAAATGAACATCATTTCAGTATATGCCTAGGATGACGGTGTTGTTGTTTTTTCAAGGGGTAACACCTCATCCTGCTCGCATAGGTGAATATTTATGGACAAATTGACCAGTAAAATTACAGTTATAGTATGCGCATTAAACAGGCTAGGCTATTATATGTCTATTATTTAATTATGTGAATGAGCCACCATTATTATGTTAATTCCCAATGTAACTTGTTTTGAAATCCGACAAACATCAATGGATATAATTCAAAATCATTACCCTAATCAAGGTTACCAATACTGTATATTTGTAAAAGCAAATATACTAAAGAAACTTATCAATCTTCATTATAAACCATCTTGTAGTTTCAATTGTGTATGTCAATGTCAAAGGTTAAGTCTCATAAACATATATGTGCATAATATTTATTCTGGTTACAAATGTACACCATATGTGTACTAAATTAAGATAGATAGTATGTATATTATCTTTAAGAAATGTGGAATGGTGAGGTACTTACATTGACCCCCTGCAACCCACTTGACCCCAATCCACCATAGTAAGAACATACTTGAATGATGATAAACATGTAGGAAGCTTAGCTGAGAGTTCTTCTTCCGTACAATGAAAAAGAATGTATCAAGCATTTCAATGCACTTAGAGAAGTAAAACCACCACATGGCCTTTGCAATCTAGGAATATGAAAAGAATAATTAATAATTATCAATCATACAGTAATAATAATAATAATGATGATGATGATAAAGGTAACAACAATGATAATATTACTGAAAAAAAATCATCTGGATCCACTAAATATATTCAATTTTGTCTTTTTTTTTCTTAAATGATAATACTAATGACAATAAAGGGTAAAAAAGATAGGATAATAACCCATAACTCACATCATCATTATGCTGAATTGGGTATAGGTGTGGTCCATGCCTACTGTAGCAGCCATAGAGAGGCGCTTAGTAGCTTTACTTATTATTATAATAATGATAATAATGGTAATGATAATAATAATAATAACAAAATAATTATAATAATAATATCGTAAAAAATCCTCAATTAACAAATTAATTAATGAGTTACTAGGTTACTGGGTGATATATGCTAATAGGCTTACTATTATTGATTGCAGTGTCCTATGGCATCCATTCAAATTATGCAGATATTTACTTTACTTTTTCTCTAATTGTTTCATTCAAAGCGTTGACAAAGGGAAAGGCAGCATTATTGATCACACCACTAAGAAAGGGCAAGGTGCTATGTACTGCATTCAAGCTTTCTTTGTGCCTTCAAGTATTCCACCTGAAATTAAGTTTTTACTCACCCTCATTTCCCACTCATCATAAGAGTATGTTACTGGTTGACACTGTACTCTGTAGCCTGCCATATAACCACATAGAACACACTAAAAAAATAAAGAAATTCAGAAAATAGCATTCAACAAATTGAATATTTTTCATTAAATTTGTATATGTAAGTAACAACAAATAATTTTTTTCTATTTCAATGCTTAATTTCAATATATAATTTCAATATATAGGGCTCTAGTAATTTCCATAAATATGTTAATTTCATCTCATCATAAACATAAATAACTTTTAACAATATTAAAAATTTGTTCAACTCACCTCCTTAACAATGTAAAATGATAAGAATACACAACCAAAGTTGTAAGCCATCATGATTCTTTTCATCTCCAGTGGCTCATGAGATTTCATGATTTTTGGCCCCCACCAAACCATGAGGAGGTACAGAAGGGTGATAATGATCGTTGGGATGGGGGAATCCATTAGCAACCACCCTGACACCCGAGGATCTGAATGAAATGACAAACAAGTGTAATATATCAAAATGAATTACTATATATAACAAATTATATAAAACAATATGATGAAAGTTATAAAGCCAGTTCAATGAGGAATCCCCAGGTATAAACTAAATGCATAGCCTCCTCGTAACTGCTGTGTAATATCAGAGAAGGCTATCCAGGCCTGATGAGTAAAGGTGGTAAGTCAATTCTCCACAGCAACCCCACTGGAAATACGTCTTCATATTTTTATGGTGAATTATTGACATGCTTCACAAAATCCAAACATAAGAATGCCATGATCAGATGCAATGCAGAAAACAGGCAATATTACTAAACTTTGTCCACACTTTAAAATGTTTATGTTACAAAAAAAAAAGTGACATGCCCATATTTGGGTGAAATATGACATCCTATATATGGGCACATCACAAAAAAAAAAGTGATATGCCCGAATATGGGTGTAATATGATATCACATACATGGGCACATCACAAAAAAAATGTGATATGCCCATTTTTGGATGTACTGTAATATGACATACTAGTATGTATGGGCACATCACACAAATTTGTTACATAATAACATTGACAGTGTAAACTGAGCTTTCTTGAGGTATCGTCCATCAGCAGATTAAATAGAAATATTTACAAGGATGGCGACTACGTATGTGCCAAAGACAAGCCAAACCAGTCACTCATTGCAAATCCTGTTTCGGAGATAATGGCCAAAACATATTGGAATGTCAAAATTTTCGAAATCTATTTTATTGCACTAAACTAACCTTTATACTGTATATCTATACATCAAGATATGCTGTTATTTTCCCTATTTTCAATATTAAAATAAACATTTTTAACAATTTGGTGATGGTTTCTGCCTAAGAAATCCCTGAAATCGTAAACTTTGAAGGCTGATTTCTCAAATATTTCTTTATACAGCTGTATGTTTAAACTCCTATAACTTCATAGCAAAATGACGAATTTAAATGATTCTTTCTGTTTTCTGTTTTTTTCTGTTTTCTGTATTAATAACCAAAAAATCGTGTTTTGCGATGAGTGACTGATGTGGCTTATCTTTGTCACATACACTTACCACTTATTGCTATCATGTCATCATAGGCCTTGGCCAGGTGAGATATAGCATCTTGTAACAGCTCCATTGTCTGAAACATAATGAATAATTTAGCTCATTTAATGGATCAAAATGTGTTATTTATATTAGATAACCTTCAACGATCAGATAGAAAGAATGATTTTTGCTAAGTTAGAGACCTTACTGATTACCCAGCCAATTACGAATCTGCTGACTATAAGTTAAAAAAAAAAGGATAGGAAAGTTATAATCTTTATCCACAGTACTTGATTAGGATGTGCACTTAGGTACAAATGAATGTCACTCCAACAACTGACACAGCCATTTTATTCTACGTTTCTCTTGTATTTAAGCAGGG